ATGAGCCTTTGCCTTACACCCAAAACTACTGACTCGGAAATTAGAATCAAAATGAACTTTCGAAATCAAATAGTATATATGATCTCAGATTTTAACACGTCCTTTTATACGCTTTAAATTTAGATATAAAAATAAGATTCGTTTTGAAAAGGATAGGGTTATATTATTATAAAATATTCTGTTTGTGTTCAATAGGAGAGAACAATGAAAAAAAATGTTCTGAATCCACTACCGCTACAACCCAAAGTGAACAGCAGGCAGGACGGTAAAGCAGAATCTCTGCAACAAAAGATACGCTTTCCTACATAAAATGCCCAGAACGTTTGATCACCACGAATCATAGTAACTGATGCATGCTGTAGTTTGTATGGCAACACCAGTAAGGTCAGTTAATATCGTCATTTGAATCCATACTGAAAGAAGGCGTGATTCATAATCCCGGAAGATTTTATGTCGATACTCGCTACTTAATCATTCTTCGTTTCAGGCGAACGACGACGCGAAGACGGACAGGCGCGCAAAACGCAGCGGAATGGCCAAAAATGAAGGCGCTAATAATAAACTCGAGTGCGGTCTAAAATTTGATCGACTAAAACAACTACTTACAAATGACTTTGCTTTTTCATCGAAACATACTCAACGACGTCGACGGCTTCACTGGGAGGAAAAGTACCTCAGAGGATAGTTATCAACGGCTAAGAAATCAATCCATTTAAACAAAAACAGAAATCGACTACGATTTATAATTACAAGCGAGCGAAGTGCAAACAACGCGCGAAGCGTTTACAGACGCAGTTTGGTTTTCATCGATATTCATTTTTAACTACAGCTTAAGACGCACTCGGTAATGGAGTCTGAAGGGATGGAGCGCATATGATTAGCCTTCTGAATTTTGCTGCATCACTACATGATAACAAGAATATAACAAGTGCCGACGTTAAAATCCTGAAAACCTTCATGTTTCTGAAAAGATGTAAACTCTGATTTCAAGCCGAGTAAAGCAGTTATGAATATGAAACTATCACAAGTGTTAAAAATATTCAAACTATAGCAATATTTACTACTAATGATAAAAGCAGGTTCAGAACGAAAAGGTTTTGGCAATCATGCGCTGACTTTCGCCACAAATCGTGCAATTAGGTTAGAAACGCAGCGACAAGCATTGCACCGCCAGTGGGCCACAAGTTTGTAATTTTAAACCGTCGATACTTTCTGATACAGAGAACACTGCGGCAAGCCCATCACCACTGTCTAAACGAAGAAATTAGTTCAGCACTACCCACAAAACTAGAAACCCGAAAAACCTGGCTATACCTCAAGATAAATAAGGGCCTGTATGGTGAACGGAATCGCCGCGCAGTTAATTAAGTAGAAGGAAAAGGAGGAAAGGAAATGGCAAAAAGTTCGACGTTCTCATCATTAAATGCGGACCTGAAATCATTTCCGTGGGGAATGGAAGTTTGCAGTAAAGGGGGTAACGCGACGGAGTGTTCCAATTATCGTGCCATCATACTACTGAAAACTCTTGGAAAACTTTTCTCCTGGATTATCCTCAAAGACTTGGCAGGAAGTTGGTGAGAGCTTCACCCAAATCAACTAAGCTTTATGATAAAAGTTTCAGTTTCAATAGAATCATCGAGCAGTATCGACGATTCCAACTGCCTTGGTTTACCAGTTTCCTCGACCTTACAGCCGCATTTCATTTAATACATCGTTCAGCGATGCGGAGAATCTTAAAATATGCTATGGGATAACTGAACATACTGTTTACATCATGGAAAATAAGTATGCAGGAACTGTCCGTGAAAAAGTAGGTGACTTATCTGATTGGTTCCCAGTTAACTTCGCCAGGGAGATATGTTTTCGTTTTAGCTATTCAACATCATTTTCGACTTTCTTCTGCGAAACAATGCTGATCCTGGTCAAGACGAAGGCCTCATTCCAGAGGGATGTCACTGCTCATGATGTATGGACAGATTTCTTGGTTAGCGTAAACCTCGCCATGCAAAACTGGAAATCCGTTTCTTCTCAAAGAAGGCCTGCTATGTTGAGCAAATTCCTTGAAGTTAATGAAATATACAGGAAAAAGTGACAGGAAAGCTCCAAGCTTATTTCATAAAACGTAGACTTAAAACAAC